AGTGGGCAAAAGTTTAAGAAACAGGACATTTGCACAGTCTCAAAGTATCTTTCCCAAGAGTTACTAATTACAAAAAGAAAAGTAGTAACTGCACAGTGAAGGAATAGGACAGATACTATCTTTACCAAGTTACCAAGGCTCACATCACTAGTAATAAACAAAATAACTGTCTAATCTGATGCACTTAGAAGGGCACAAAACTCCAGTAGTATTCTTGATAATGTGTGACCAGGAATAGTTGTGAGAAACGCGGTGGCTCAAGCCTGTAATCCCAGCACTTTGGGAGGCCGAGACGGGCGGATCACGAGGTCAGGAGATCGAGACCATCCTGGCTAACCCAGTGAAACCCCGTCTCTACTAAAAAATACAAAAAAAAAAACTAGCCGGGCGAGGTGGTGGGCGCCTGTAGTCCCAGCTACTTGGGAGGCTGAGGCAGGAGAATGGCGTGAACCCGGGAGGCGGAGCTTGCAGTGAGCTGAGATCCAGCCACTGCACTCCAGCCTGGGCGACAGAGTGAGACTCCGTCTCAAAAAAAAAAAAAAAAAAAAAAAAAAAAAAGAAAATATCAAATCAAACCCAATTGAGAAACGCTCTACAAAATATCTGACAGAGCATCAAGCCATGAAAACATCTTCAAGTCATGAAAGAGAGGAATACTGAAGAACTGTCACAGATGTAGAAGACGACGGAGACACGCCAACTAAATACAATGTAGGATCCTGGATGGGATCCTGGAAGTGAAAAATAACATGAGTGGAAAACTGGTAGAATCCAGATAAAGTCTGTAGTTGAGTTAATAGTATTGTACCAATGTTAATTTCTTAGTTTTTGTGATTAGATTGTGATTATGTAGAATGTTAGCATGAAGGCAAGCTGGGTGAAGAATACACAGGGAGTCTCTGTACTATTGATGTGAGTCTTCCGGTATTTTAACATTACCTCCAAATAGAAAGATCTTTAAAAACGATACTCCTTACAATAGCATAAAAGGTATGAAATGTCTAGAGATAAATCTCACAAATATGTGCAAGACATGTACACTAAAAACTACAAAATATTGCTGAGGGAAACGAAAGAAAGTATAAATAAGTGAAGAGATATACCAAGTTCATGAATCTGAAGTCTCAATATTGTTAAATGTCTAGTCAGCCCTCAGTGATCTAAGATTCAACTTAATCTCAACTAAAGTTACATCTGTCTTTTTTGTAGAAATGGACAAGTTGATCGTAAAATTTATATAGAAATATAGTGAGCATAGAACAGTCAAAGCAATTAAAAAAAAGTGAGGGGGACTTACAGTATTCAATTTCAAAACCCATTATAAAACTATAATAATTAAGGTAGTGTGGTAGTGTAAGAACAGCTCAATGGAACAGAATAAAGAGTCTGGAAAAATACATATAGTATAATAAGTCTTTATATGATGTATGTATTTTCAATTTTCTTTTGAAAGAAGGGCCAAGCTAAATTATTGGGAAAAGGGAAGACTTTAAAACAAATGGTGCTGGAATAATTAGCTATTCATCCATAAAGATATAAACTTCAACCCTACCTTAGACAATACAGAAAAATTAACTTAAGATGGACCACAGGCCTAAACAAAGTCAAAACTGTAAAACTTCTAGACACTTTGTTACCTTGAGGAAGACAAAGGTTTCTTAACAGAGAACAACAATCCTACCAGCATAAAAGTTAAAACAGACAAAAATGGACATGATCAAAATAAACAATGTCTGCATTTGAAAAGACCTGTTGAGAAAATGAAAAGACAAGTCACAGACAGGGAGAAAATATTTGCAATACATACATCTGATAAAGAGTTATATCCAGAATATATTTAAAATTCTTACAACCCAATAATATAACACATGCAACAATTAAAGAGTTGGACAAAAGGTTTGGACAGACACTTCGTAAATGAAGGTACACAAATGGCCGGGATGCCCTGGCTGCTTCTCTTCCTGAGAGACACTCTCCCATGTCTTGGTCTCATCAACTCCTTCCTCTCCTTCAATTCCCCTCGCAAATTTTACCTTCTCAATGAAGCCTCTCTTGAAATTGCTTTCAGGTGTAATATTAAAAGTTGATATGTAGTAGCTGTGCATACTTTGGGAGTACCTGTGATATTTGGATACCTGTATACAATGTGTAATGATCAAATCAGAGTAATTGGAACATCCTTCATGTCAAATATTTATCTTTTCTTTGTGTTGGGAACATTCCAGTTCTTCTTATCTAGCTATCTTGAAATATACAATAACTTGTTAGCTATAGTCTCCACACTAGACTATTGAATACTAGAACTTACTCCTTCCATCTAACTGTATTTTGTAGCCATTGGCCAACTTCTCTTCCTCCCTCCTGCCCTTCCCAGCTCTAGTAACTACCATTCCACTCTCCATGAAATCCACTTTTTTTAGCTCTCACATGTGAGTGAGAACATGTGATGTCATACAGCCTAAGTTCCGTTGCAGTAACGAAGGCGCCCTCTTACTGGCTAAACCCAACATAGGCTTTATTTCTTGCTTTTACGGCTCCTGCAAAGTTTGCTGGGGACCTGAGTAACTCTCCAGGGGAATGCCTCCACTGGAGCAGCGTGGGTCCAGGTTACCATTTTCAGGCTCGGCCTCCACACGTGCCACAGGAGAGAGATGGCACTGCCGAGTCTGGTGGTGTCAATGGCTGTAGTCTAGGAGCGAGTCACATCTCTTCCTCTCAGAGCCCTTTGGCCAGAGCTGGTCCCAAGCCCAGGCTGATTGCTGGGGTCAGAGACTGTGTTCCTCTGTCGCCTGGAGGAAGAAGAGCATTTAATATGGGTAAGTGGTAGAAGTCTCCACTCGCAGCAGGTGGATTTTCTCAAGTTGCCCCTTCCCTGGCGTTAGAACCTCTGAGGTTCTGGTTTGGTGCAAGGATGGCAATTCTGCCGTCCCACCTTCTTTCTGCCCCTGGATGGCCACTGAACGCTACTGGGACTGCTTGACGCCTGAGGTGGCTTCATGCCAGCAATGACTTAATACTCTCACTCTTGGCTTTCCCCTGCCTTTGGCCTCTGGGGAACTCCTTTCCTTTCTTGTAAGCTCAGTTGCATGTGGCAAGTGATGTTTAGTGTGTTTTATACAGCACCCTGGGCACTTAGTTTTGGGAGGTATTCGTATTCACACTTTATAGAGGAGGAAAGAAAGCAGAAAGCTTCAGTGCCTTGCCCGAGCCACACATCAGGGATGTCCTGGAGCCGTGCTTCTCAGCCAAGCTCTCCTCTTGGGAGGCATGGTAGTCTCCTTCCTACAGAGAGGGGAAGGATGGGGTCTGGCATGGAACTTTGGGGCAGGCTTCCCAGAGGAGGTAGCCTTTGACCTGGGCCAGAAGGACAGACAGTGGGTCAATGGGAGGACATGGCGGAGGATGGAGCCTGGGCAAGGGCCTGGGGGTGTGAAAAGGCGGAGACACATGTTAGATGCTCAATCAATGTTTGCTGAATAAACGAATAAATACATAGCCAGGGAGAGGAACGGGAGGATGAATAACGCTGTTGGTAAAGCATGAGTCAGTTTCTTGCAATGGCTTGTGTTTGACCTGCCGTTTTTCTACCTGCTCTTGCCTAATTTCCTAAGCTAAACAAACTGGGAAGAATTTGTGGGAATGCCAGAGAATGAGTCTCTCTTCCAGTCTTAGCAATTGCAGTTACCTAAAATTACAAGCCTGTCTGATCTCATTAGCAAAATAAGACTCAGCAAGGACCCAAGGTGGAAGTTCAGTCCTGACAAGGAGACGCTGAGGTCTTTTCAGGGCTCCAGCTCCCCGCTCCCCACTCCCGGAGCCCCCCGCCCCTGCGCCCTGACTAACATCTCAAATCTCTGGCAGCTGGAGGCCTGTCGAGTTAGCTCCCGCAGGTCTGGTCCATCAGCACGCCTGGGGAGGAAGAGAAAGCAAACAGGGAAATTCCGAGTTCAGCCTGGACTTCAGTCAAACCCCCTTTCCTTCATAAACACCCTCCCTTGTGCTTATTACAATGAGGGAACTGGAGCCAGTGGCCCGGAGCAGAGATTAGATGATCCAGAAAGGGCCACCGAGGCATCTGTCGATGGGAAAGCCAGCGGAGTGTGTCTCAGCCAGTAAGTGATGGCTCTACACAGCACTTAGAGGAACGTTTAGGGGCCTCAGACACTATTTAAGGACTTTGAGTTTCAGGTAATGAGAGAACCACAGACATTTAAGCTCGCAGAATAAAATCAAGAGGTCGTATTTGTAGAGTAAAGCGGAGGCTCTCTTGGGATCGTTTTAGAAGACAGAAACATGTTGCCTGCTCTGATGGCTAGGGTGTTTCGCAAGAGTAGTGCTGCTTTATTGATCGCCTCCTGGGGGCCAGGCTGGAATTAATGCTTTTACACCCATTAGCTTAAGCAATCCTCATAAAAGCCCTGCAGAGCAGGTATCATTATCCCTGTTTTGCAGATGAGGGATTGAAGATGAGGTGGTTAAGTAACTTGCCCCAGGTCACTTAACTGGTAAGTGTGGCCTGGACCAGCCTGTCCATTAAGCTCTGGGGGCCCAGGGCAAGGATGTCTGTCTCGACCTGATACCTTTAGGGGTCCAAGAACATCTCTCTAACTTTGCTTAAACCAGAAGAAAAATGTGGAAGCATTTGAAGGTTTATTAAATTGTTTTTATTTTTAAATTTTATTTATTTATTTTTTCATACTTAGGGACATTCACTACCATTTCTCCCCTAGCTTTGATTTTAGGTTCAAAGGTACATGTGCAGGTTTGTTACATGGGTAAATTGCATGTTGCTGGGGTTTGGTGTACAGATAATTTTGTCACCCAGGTCATCCGAATAATACCTGAGAGGTAGTTTTTCATCCTCAGCTTCTCCCCTCCTCCACCCTCAAGTAGGTCCCAGGGTCCCCTGTTCCCTCCTTTGTGTCCATGTGTGCTCAATGTTTAGGTCACACTTATAAGTGAGAACATGCAGTATTTGATTTTCTGTTCCTGCATTAATTCGCATAGGATAACGGCCTCCAGCTCCATCCGTGTTGCTGCCAAGGACGTGACGTCGTTCTGTTTCATGGCTGCGTCGTATTGCATGGTGTATAGGTACCACATTTTCTTTATCCAGTCCACCACTGATGCGCATCAATGTTGATTCCATGTCTTTGCTATTGTTGCATAGTGCTGCAAGGACATGTGCCTGTCTTTATGGTAGAAGGATTTGTATTCCTTAAATATGTTTTTAAATACAGGTATTTTTATGGTGGGAGAGGCCCATGAAAATCGCAGTGCCCTCTGGGGAAATCTCATAGAGCCACTGGTTACTTCCCAAGCTCAGGCGCTCGGAAAGGCCCAGGAAAGCTCCTCAAAGGCATGGCGACGACGAGGTAAATAACCACAGGGGTGCGGGTGCTTCTGGCTCCTCTGACGTCCTGCACAGTCATCACAAGCACCATCAGATGAGGTGCCCTGGACAGTGTTTCCTTTTCACAGCCCTGGGGGATGGAAGTCATGCCTGTGTCTGTACCCAGACCTGGGGGATGGAAGTTACGCCTGTGCTGTACTCAGCCCGCCCCACGTCAGCACTGCTGCCCAGTACAAGCCCCCGTCAGGGTTTGCAGACCAGGTTCAGTGTGTTCCTTCATTCCAGCCTGTCTGAGGGAGGCTGTGGCCTGTGGCCAGGACAGGAGGGACCGAGGTGTCCCTGTGAAGAGCAGGTTGTCCAGAGGTCCAGTTAGTGGCCTTGGAGAACACTGACAGCAGCACAGCCTCAGCCTCACTCCCTGGTATGCAACGTGGTGGCTTCTCTAAGGAGGATGGGGGAGTTTTCTTAGGCCAAACATCCAGGGTGCCGTCCTGCAGGTGCCCACTTTGATACCTCACCTTCACTTTGTGGCTCAAGACAAATGGCCTGGGGAAAGATGGTGTTGAAGTGGAGGCAGCAACCACAGGCAGCTGGTCCGTGGGACTCGTCTGTACAGGGAACCGAGACGGGGCTGCAACTGGAGGTGAGCAGTGGGGTGTGGGGCCAGGCGGGTTTCTGAAGACCGGGAATACTCACTCCAGCAATGGGGACACTCTGCCTTCTCTTTTGCCCACTCAGTCCCATTTGTTATTTTGTTTTGTTTTTACAAACTTTTTATTTTGGAACAATTTTAGATTTATAGAAAAGTTACAAAGATAGTACAGAGAGTTCCCGTTCGCCCCCCACCCGGTCTTCCCTTTGTGAACTGCGCACATTACTGTGGTACATTTGCCAGCACTCAGAAGCTGACATTGGGCCATTGTTAACTCAACTCCAGACTTTATTTGGATTTCGCTAGTTTTCCCATTAATGTCCTCTCTCTGTTCCAGGACCCATGCCAGGGGACCTCATTGCATTTAGTTGTCACGTCTCCCCCGGCTCCTCTGGTCTGTGTCACGTTGTTTTTGATACCTGCTCGGGGCCAAGACTAGGACCAGAGAGGTGAGTGAAGAGAGCTCTGGTGGCTCCGGGCCAGGGGTTGGGCAGACAGGGCGCCCTTCCGTGGTGCTGGAGAGCTGGCAGGACAAATGGCCTGGGCTCGCAGGGATGGCCGGCAAAGGCAGGTGCAGGGGGCTTTGGAATTGCTTTAAAAGGGGGAGGGGGTTCTGATTGAAAAGCCAGCCTGAATAATAACATCCAGCACTGTATTTTGATGGGATAATTGTTTTATATTTATAAAGATTCTTAATTATCTCCAGCAAATGCATTTAGCTCACTTGGTAATTGAATTAAGGAAAATGTCTTTTCAAGCATTGTAAGTCATTGCTGTAATAAAAAAAGAAGGAAGAATGACTTTAAAGTACCTCCCTACATGACCTAGACAAACTTGTTATTACTGAAAGCTGAGTAATCCCATTAAGGCCTCAGTTCGTTCTAACAGAACAGGCGCTCTGGAGACGCCACACGAAAATTGCAAGAGATGGGGGAAGCTTCCTTTCTTTGGGAAGCCTCTGCCGACCCCACTTCGAGCGGATCCTGCCCTCCTGGTGCCCTGGACATACTTTTATTTTTGTGCTTATCACACTGACCTGTGACAGCCTCCTGGTCAGCTTCAACTCCCCTTTATCCCCCACATGTCCTGAGAGCTCAGATGGACGGCATTTGCCCACTTCAGTATCTCCCAGCACAGTCAATAAAGGAGCACGTGAAATGCTTCCCAACCTGCGTGATTACCCCTCCTGCCACAGCAGGGAACAGTCCTTCATAAATCCTGTGTCTTTGGAGGAACGTTTTCTGGTACACTGCAGCAGCTGTGGCTTGCAATGTCTAAGTTACCAGGACGTCGGTGAGGAGGGCCCTGACCAGGGCGGAGTAGGGGGGACCTGCGGCATTCGGGAGCATGACGCCTTGGTGCTGGAGTCTCCAGGCTTGCCAGGCAGCTCTGGGGCTGGGGGTGGGGCTGGGAGGAGCCCAGACAGATAGGCCCTGAGCTTTGAAGAAAAATCAATATTCACCAGGGAGTTGATGGTATCGTAAAAGTCTCGAGTTGCACTGCCATTTCCTGGCCCCTGAGTGGCCCAAGGTGAGCGCTGCTGAGGAGGGAGCTGCCCTGCCTGCCCCTCCCCTGCACTGCCTGTCTGAGGTCCCAGAAGGAGCAGGAGAAACCCAGCAGGCATCTTAGGTGGTAGAGCCACTGGAGTGAGCCACAGCAGCGAGGCGAGGACGGTGGCTCCCTCTTTCTTTCGGAGGTGCATACATTCAAAAAAATAACTACTCAATGCCTGCTATACCCAGGCCTGGGGCCATGCTCTGGTGATGCGGCCAGGAGCCCAGCAGACAGCATGCTGCCTCCATGGAGTCTACAGTCCTGCGTAGAGATCAATGTTGAATGGGGAAATGAGACAGGAAACTGGCTAAGTAGAGGCTGATAAGTGTCATCCAGCAAAGCAATGAACAGGCAGGTGGAGGCTCAGGAGGGCTGGTAGGGCTGCTGTTGGGTGGGGCTGTGGGCACTCAGTGGAGCAGGAGCCTGGGCAGTGGGGGGGCCGGCTCCTGACACAGCCACTCCCCGACCACTCTTGGCTTCTCTGCTTCCTTCCTTCTCTCTCTGCCTCCTTCCCACGCCCATGCCCAGGTGCTCCTGTAGCTCTGGCATGCATAGGGACACTGAGGTGCCCTATTGCCAAGTGGCCCATCGCCTTCATTTCATAGTCCAGATGCTCTGACAGTGACCCCAGGTGACCACCCATGTATCGCCTGTCCTGGTGGGGGCCGCCCTGTGCCATGCAGCATGCACGACACGGCACAGCATGGCTCATGGCTGCCCAGCACCAGGGGCCGAGGGGGTGATGAGCATAGCAGTGAGGATTCCATGTGGCCATCACGCCTGGGATTGAGTCCTGCTCGCCTCTATCAGGGGATGTCTTTAGGCAAGTCTCTTAACATGCGTGTGCCTCAGTTTTGTCACCTGTAGCCCAATGCCTCAGGGTGCCAAGGGGATCACACGCATGAAGCCCTGGCAGGGTGTGCCAGGCACGTGTGCACATGCCCCCTGGAGGGGATGCATCAGCGAGGGCGGAACTCTGCCGTTCCAGCCTCCTGAGGGTCCTGTGGGTCCTGAGGGTCCTGACGCCTCACCAGGCCGGGAGGCAAAGGGGTTTGTAACTTACATAACCGCAGAGAGAGGCAAGGTTGCTGCCCACAATGGTGCTTTCACAGGGCAGCTCTGGGACAGCATCCTCACCCGACTATATGGAATTCCACATCCTTTCCGAATCTTGGTGTTACACAATAGTCACTGAGATATCATGTACCCCATTAATGTTGAGACTTTTATGTATTTACAATTCAGCTTAAATTTTTACCCAGAGAAGTTTTCAAAATGTAACATGTGTTAGTCACTGCGTGAATTGCGAAACCAAGGAAATATCTCCAAAGTGCTGGCCTTGACAATGTAATCTGGCAAGGCTTGGGGAGGAATAAAAATAACACTTCTCAGCATCGCCGTCTCCGAGGGCAGGAGTGATCTGGAGCCCTCCTCAAGCCCACAGGTGGTTGGGCAGCACGTGCGGGGCTGGGTGGCCGCCCTGGGGTCTTCTCCCCCCTTCTCCGGCCCCTCCCCGAGGCCAGGACAAGTCCTGCCTGCCCTCAAGTGGGGCGGTTGAGCCCAGGTTGGGGTGGTGGTGAGACAGGGAGACTGGGGAACTGGGCACCCTGATGGGGGTTCTGGGTCTGACGCTCACCAGCCTGGAGGTCCGGGGCATTTCCCTAACCTCAATGTTCACGGAAAGGTTCAGGGGCCATGCCCCGGGTGGCCACAGCAACGGGAAGCTTCCTGGCTGCCTCAAAGGGCTGTTCTGTGGGGGAACCTGGTCCAGGATGATGGAGGGGAGGCAGCAACTGGACTTTTCCCCTTGCAGCTGTAAGGATAGCTTGATTTTTCTAAACACAACAACCCTGTGTCTCCCCACTGAGTTACAAGCCTGCAGGTGGCTTGATGAACATGTGGTTTCTGGATGTGACATGAAAGTTAGCATTTGCACGCTCTTTGTCTGGTTTCCCTGGGTTTGTTTTTCTTGCTCTTACAGTCCTGAACTATTCCCAATCATGTTTATGTTGAGGCAGAAGACATGGCTGTGGAGTGTCGGTGCACCAGGGTCTGCCGGGCCCCCGCCTCCCCATCCTTCCAAGAGGCACCAGCTGCAAGGCACGTGCACGTGCCCTCCCGACACCCCAGTCCCCGAAGAGCCTGCTCCTATCACTCCAGGCAGGCACTTTTGCTGGGATTCCAAGGCAGCTGAGCGTAGAGCCCACTGTAGAGGCATCGGCCCCCCCCAGGCCTCTAGGAAGCCTGCTCTTCTCCTCCCTCCACAGGCATCTGCTCACAGCGCCAGCGGTGCCTCATGCTCCACCTGGAGCGCTACTGTCTGTCGGGGACATGGGCTCCCAGGAGGCTGCATGTGAATGATTTCCGACCTTCAGAACAACCAGGAAGTAGGGACTGGGATTGTTCCCATTCTGCAGATGAAAAGACTGAGGCTTGGGATAACATTGCTTGCCCAAGGTCACATGGGCAGTACAAGACAAAGCTAGGGTTGCAAATGGTCACGCTTCCTACGCTTCCTATTTTAATGTTCCTTTTCTGCCAGCTCCTCCTCTGAGTGCTGGCTTTCCCTGCTTACCAAGCCCCCAGCTCCTCACTGCAGTGCCAGAGCACCCAAGAGCCTCCTCTGGCAATGCCCATGGCCCACAGCACACTCCCTTTGGCTCTATCAGGCCTCCCTTTTGGCGTAAGTGCCACCCACTCGCTCCTCTCCTGCTTTCTGGCATCGTTATTTAATTGTCCAACCCTGGTCTGCCCAGTTAGATTGTAAACTCCGAGAGGACGAGGAGTCCGCACCGGCTGCCCCCGGGCCTGGCCTGGGGCTGCCACGTGGCTGAATCTCAGCCACACTTGCTGTAGAATGATTTGTTGTTATTCTCTGAGGCTGGGTTTCCACGTGTCTGGGCACAGGAGGACAGAGTCCCCCTCCCCGTCCAGGTCCTTGGCTGGCCAGCATTTCAAATGATATTGTTTCATATTAAATTATTTTAAATTCCATGGACCCTGGTTTCACAATCAAATAATTCGATCTTGTTTACAAATGGAATTTTTACTTTTTGACGGTTTCTTGCTTTGCTGGGCTGGACGGTCAGTGAATGCGTGTCCTCCCATGCCCTCCAGTCCATCTCTGTTGCCTTCCCTGGGATGCCGTGGAGGCCGGGAACCATCCCCAGGAGCAGGGACGTGGTCGGGGGGGTGGGGTCAAGCAGCTCCGTGCAGGCAGGCAGCTCACTGTGCTCAGGGCCTGGAGGCCGGGGTGTTCTCTGCTTCCCCTCTTCCAGCTCTGGCCGTGAGAAAACCCACAAATAACAGAATTGGAAGGGACCTTTGACACCCGTGATTCCAACATCCCTTTTTACAGGTTAGGAAACTGAGGCACAAGGTCCTGGTTCCTGGGGTCGGGCCTCGGACCCAGCACTGGGTCTTTGCACAGCCTCCTCAGGGCTGATCCACACTTTGTTCTCTTCTCCCCCAACCCCACCACATCCAGTCAGGTGCCACTCACTGCTTTCACTTACTGAGACAGAGAGAGGGAAAAGTGTGACCTCTGACCTCTAGGAGCTAGGAACTCGGGTTGGGAGGGGCTGCGGATGAGGAGACAGAGGAGGCACAATGAGGTGAATCCTACGGGATTGGGAGGAGCTTGGAAGGCAGTTCAGAAAGGCCACGCAGGAGGCAGGGCGGGACGGCGGGATGGCAGGCCAGGCGCATCCAGCAGCATTTGCAAAGCTGCAGACGTGGCCAAGTTCAGTAGCTGTGGCCGGACCCCATTTGTGGCGGTTGATGAGAATCTTGTGACTATTTTAACCAATGTGTTAAACTTCACTCTCTCCCTGTGCGTCTCCTTGTCACCTTGGAGAGTGTTATTAGTCAAGGTTCTCCAGAGAAACAGAACCACAGAATGTACACACACACATGCACGTGCGTGCACACACACATATGCACACACATCACACACACACAAAGAGGGATTTATTGTAAAGAACTGGCTTGTGGAATAACTGAATTGATAAGTCCCAAGATTTTCAGTCAGCAAGCTGGAGACCTGGAAGAGGCTGCTGGGGACTAGATATGTCCCCCCAAAATTCATATGGTAAACCCCAGCTTCCAATGTGCTGGTCTTAGGAGGTGGGGTGTTTTGAAGGTAATTAGGTCAGGAGGGTGGAGCTCTGATTAATGAAATTAGTGCCCTTATAAGAAGAGACAGGACAGCTCTCTCTCTGATCTCTGTCACCTTAGGACATAGAGACAGGAAGGCCAGCAGGAAGTAGGCCCTCACCAAAACCAAACTGGCAGCACCGTGATGCTGGACTTCCAGCCTCCTGAACGATGCGCAGTAAGTATTTGATGCTTAAGCCACACCAATAAATATTTGATAGCAGCCCGAGCTTAGACAGAGCTGACGTTTCAGTTCAAATCCAAAGGCAGGAAAAAGCTAGATATTCAGCTCAAAGGCTGGCAGGCAAGAGGAATTCTGTCTTACTCAGTGTACAGGATCCCCTTTGTCCTACACAGGCTGTCCACTGATTGGATGAGGTCCACCCATATTAGGGAGGGGAAGCTGCTTTACCTGGCCCACTGATTCCAATGTGAGTCTCGTCCCCAAACCCCTCACAGAAACACCCGGAGTGATGTCTGGTCAAATATCTGGGTGCTGTGGCCCCGCCAAGTTGATGCTGAAATTAACCCTTGCAGAGGCCACTTCTTTATCATGGGACATATGCTTGGAGCCACTCTTCTGGAACTTTCTCTAAGCGAGTCATGGTATGGGGCAGATGAGTGTCATTGCTCTGTGGTCACTTGATGGGTGACCTGGGTTGGTCCCATCAACCTCCTCACTGGGCTTGGCTCAGAATGGCATCAGGCTGTTTTCACAAGTCGACCGGCTCTCCAGGGTCAGGACCAAACCTGCTGAGGAGATCGCAGATGGCCCTGACTCCATGCGCCGCCCCCAAAGGACCCTAGGGCAGGCATCTGAGCCAGTCCCAGGCTGTAGAGGTTGACTCAGGAAAGCACCAGGAAAAGTTGGTTGTTAACATCCCAGTCCAATTTTTTTGATTGGGCCTAAAGGCAGGGACTTCCTTCTATAAAATCTGGGAGCTGAGTGCAGGGCAGGCCTGACAAGGTGCAAGGAGCTGGCTGTGGACTTCAGCTCTCCCTGGGTGTCCAGGAGCTGCCCTGGGCCCTGGTGGCTCCTCCTCATCCCCACCTCTCTGCTGCACCACTATGGCCTCAAGGCCTGCACTGCCTCACAAAGCTGTCCCCAGGCCAGGCTCCTACGAGCACGCCGGGCATCAGAACTCTGGCTGGTGGACCCACAGAGGCCCGGGGTAATAGCAATGAGAAGAACAGGCCACCACCACCCAGCCTGCGGGATGGCCAGGGACACTCATCCAGGGCCATGGGAGTGTGAATCAGTCGAGTACAATATGCATAAGCAGTGTGGCCAGAACCAGAGCTTCGAGGTATCTGACTCCCGGTGTCCTGCTACCATCCCAGCACTGTTGGTTAATGGCGAAAGATGGGGCACTGGGGGTGGGAGGTCTGTGTCTACACTTGGTGGCACCTAAGAAAGAGCAGCGTTTGTCTGTAAGGATTGAGATGGACAGGTCTCTAAAATAAACACGGCAAAGAACGCAAGAGGCTGAACCCAAAGTATGATCCATTTGGGGGTTAAAAAAATAGATGGTATAGGCTGCGTGGTAGCTCACGCCTGTAATCTCAGCACTTTGGGAGGCTGAGTTTTGTCAGATCACCTGAGGTTGGGAGTTCCAGACCAGCCTGACCAATATGATGAAACCCTGTCTTTACTAAAAATACAAAAATTAGCCGGGCATGGTGGCGCGTGCCTGTAATCCCAGCGACTCAGGAGGCCGAGGCGGGAGAATCGCTTGAACCCAGGAGGCGGAGGTTCATGCCATGATCTGCAGTGAGCCGAGATCATGCCACTGCACTCCAGCCTGGGTGACAGAGGGAGACCCTGTCTAAAAAAAAAAAAAAATAATAATAGATGGTGTAGATGCTTTTGGAAGAATATGCAGTCACTGCTCACCACAGCATGGAACATGTAGACGGGGGTTACCGCCTGGTGAGTCTCTTCCAGGTCCCTGAATGCAGCTAACTAAGCGAGTCCTGAGTTCCCCAGGAGGCAGGCATTCCCATCCTACTCGCTTGGCAGATGAAGACACTGAGGTACTGGGAGAACTTGCCCAGGCGATACAGGTGGTATGTGGTGGTTGGGGGATGTGAACTTGAGCTGCTGACCAACTCTGCTGCATGTGCTGATGACTCGGGCTCCTCTGGGAGAGGGGCAGGGGCCGAGGTGGGGTGATTTAGTTTTTGTTTTTGGCCTTTCTGAGTCCTCTGTGCTTTCTTCACAGGTGCATGGATGACTTACTTTGAGAAAATGTCGACAGGGTGCTCTGCAGAGAGGCATGGGCTTTTGTGCCTTTATCATGCTTTTCTGAATTAAAAGAAAAACACAGTCATGTGATTTTAGAAACGGAACCCATGGAAGAGAAAATACTGGGTCTGTGGAAAGTCAGCTGAGGAAACAGCCAGAATGCTGGCAAAGAGGGAAAGATGCCCGGGCTTGGTGGTGGCACCTTGGAGCCTGCTTACGGAGCCAGCTCTAGCTCCAGTGATGCTGAAAGCGGAATGCTGGGCATGCAAGAACCGCGAGCCGTGTCCAGTCCACTTCCTCGTTACACAGGTGGGGAGACTGAGGCTGGGGGAGGGGCTCTCCCCTGCACAGGTGTCACCCAGGGTCCCGCCTGCACCCGAGCCATACCTCTGTGCCCTCCACCCAGGCCCCACTCAGCTGCCCCCAACTGTAATCTGGAAAAGATGAGAGTGGACCAATTATTTCTGTACCATGGTTGCATGATTATCAAGATCAAAAACGCCCGAGGAACTATATTTAGTACAGGACAGAATTCAAAGACTACCTGGTAACAGGAACGTCTGTCTGCAAGGCCAGGCACCCACACGACCCCTCGCTTTGTCTCTTTCTGTCTTGGAACCCAGGCCGTACTTGAGCTCCCATCTGCTACCCCACACCCCACTGGCTGTTGCAAGAGTGATGTTGCCATTGGTGACCGCAGGTCTCCCAGCAGCCTGGTGCCGAGAGGCCACTTCAGGCTCTAACGGGGGCCCGGGTTTCCACGGGAGACGGCAGAGCCACGGTGTGGCAGGCATCCAGCTCTCCCCCTGATCAATTCTGTGACTTGTCAGAAGACCCCCTACCCGTGGGCCTCGGTTTCCTCATCTGTGAAACAATGGGAGTGACCTGGAGGGTCTCCGCCAGTCTCAGTCTAAGCCCTTAAGACAGAGGCAGACACTGTCAGCCTGTGAGCCCCTGGCTTTGCTCTTGCTTCAGGTCAGACAAAGAAAGGACTGGTGGTCTCTGGGCATCCTGAGCCTGTCTCCATGGAAACCAGCTCGCCCACCCCCTCTCTGGCAAGTGTCCTAATGGGTGCCATGGGAAACTGTGGGCTCCAGCCCCAGGCCGCCAACTGGTTGGCGGCCTTGCATTTGAGATCCCTGGCCCAGAGTAATGGAGGGGACCTCATCTTATAGAATATACAGCGAGGGTGTGGAGAGGCTGTGGGGGAAGCACAGCCTGGTCAGCAGGCACTGGGTATCCTGGCTTGAGCTCAGGGCACCTTTGTCCCAGGGCAGGACCCTCACGTCTCGGGCTGCTCCATCCCCATTGGGGTCTCCCTTCATTCTTGATGAATGTCCACTCACAGAGGGGGCCCCATGCCTCTCCAAAGACCCCCACCCTCCAGTCCTTGTGTCCCTGAGGTTGGCCTCCTGGTGGCCACCTCATGGGGAAGGCCCTGGACACAGGGGCCCCGGCCTAATGCAGCATGGCTTCATCTTAACTAGTTATGTCTGCAAAGACCCTGTCTCCAAACAAGGTCATATTTTGGGCTTCTGAGTAGAAGGTGATTTGGGGGACACTCATCAACCCAGCGCAACGCTCCCTCTCACCATGCTCTTTCAAGAGAAGGCTCTTGGACACCTGGAGGCCACCAGTCCTTTCTCCCTCTGACCTGAAACAAGAGCTAGCAGGGGCTAGCAGGCCGACTGCATCTGCTGCCTTTTTAGATACTGGCCCCAGCCGCAATGCCCAGGACTGAGTCATGGAGATTCCCTCAGAAATGGTGCAGCCCAGTCTGTCCACAGAGCGAGGGGGGGACAAGCCTGGTGGCCCCGGCTTCAGTGCAGGCCATCCTTTCCACCTGTTGTCTCCTCTTGGTCTCACAGGGGACCCAGTTCCTATCCTCTGCCCTGAAGCATGGCTACGACCCTCATGGGCCACAAGCTTGACACCCTCAGGCGGCCAGACTGTACCCCAGATCTGGGGCTGGTAGCAGCATGAGTGTGGTCAACTGGCACGCAGTTGTTACCCGGACACCCTCCCATCAGCACTTTTTTGGGGGGTGAGTGACAGAAACTCAACTTGGGCTTACAGGTGAATTTACTGGTTCCTGTGATCACAGAGTTCAAGGTTTAGCTGGACCCGGTGCCTCCAAGGACGTCACCAAGTCTGTCTGTCCGTCTGAGTTCAGCGTCCTCCAGGTCTTCGCTCTCCAGCAGGCCTTCTCCTCAAAGTGGCCAGGTGACTGTCAGCTCTGTGGTTCATTCTACCAGTTTTATCAATCTCCACTCCTCATTTTGCTCAAATTCAGCTGTGAGTAAACTCCCAAGCAGATCGCAGTGTCCAAAGGGAGGGCCCTGGTCTCATGTGCAGCCGGCAACTCTATGGGTTCAACTCCACCCAAACTATGTAGACCACAGCAGGGAAGGAAAGCCAGGGATGCCAGGATGGCCAACACCACCGCAGAAGCCTATGGATCCTGTGCAAAAGAGCTCCAGTAAAAGGAGGGCTTTGGGGCCCAGTGTGTTGGCACACGCCTGTAATCCTAGCACTTTGGGAGGCCAAGGCGGGTGGATCACCTGAGGTCAAAAGTTCTCGACCAGCCTGACCAACATGGGGAAACCCCGTCTCTATTAAAAACAAAAAAATTAGCCAGGAGTGGTGGCGCATGCCTGTTATCTGAGCTACTTGGGAGACTGAGACAGGAGGACCGCTTGTACCCAGGAGGCAGAGGTTGCAGTGAGCTGAGATTACACCATTGCACTCCAGCCTGGGCAATAAGAGCAAAACTCTGTCTCAAAAAAAAAAAAAAAAAAAAAAAGGGAGCTTTGGTCTACAGAAAGTCAGACACCATCACAGCATCACAGGGACAGGCACACAGGCTGCAGGTTCCCGTTACATCCAGGACTCCATCCTTCTTCTCTCCATCGTCCCCACAGGCTTTTCCCACAGGCCTTTGGTTTCCTCTGGATGTTGGCGTGCCCCTGTACCAGCACTACCCTAGATGTCGGCGTGCCCCTGTACCAGCACTGCCCTGGATGTCGGCGTGCCCCTGTACCAGCACTGCCCTGGATGTCGGCGTGCCCCTGTACCAGCACTGCCCTGGATGTCGGCGTGCCCCTGTACCAGCACTGCCCTGGATGTCGGCGTGCCCCTGTACCAGCACTGCCCTGGATGTCGGCGTGCCCCTGTACCAGCACCGCCCCGACTTGTCACTCCAGGGACAGTGTGTCCACCCCTGGCCTAGCTCGTCAGAAACCTTTGTCTTCATGTCATCGTGTCCACTCATGATGTCCAAGGTCCTTCTGTCTTTAGAGATCATGGGGAGGAGGGGCATTGTGCCAGGCTGATGCGTGTCCCCCAAATCCACTTCACTCAGAAGCTCAAAATATGACCTTATTTGGAGACAGGGTCTTTGCAGATGTAATTAGTTAAGGTGAAGTCATACTGCATTAAGGTGGGCCCAGGGACTGGCAATCTTATAAAAAGAGGAGCAGACACAGAGACAGATGCAGAGGGAGGGCGGCCATGGAAAGACAAAAGCAGAGAGCAGATGATGCAGCCACAAGCCATCGGATGTCCAGGGCCACTGGGAGCTGAGGAGGTGAGGAAGGACGCCCCCAGGAGCCTACAGAGGGAGCACGACCGTGTCTGACAACTTCAGACTTCTGGCCTCCAGATCATCACGGCAGTACATTTCTGCTGTTTTAAGCCACTCATTTTGTGGGCCTCTGCTGCAGGAGCTCAAGTAAACTCATTCAGGTATTCAGGATGGTTGCGCTGGGTCAGGAGACGGGCCACACACGGTCTCTGGGCTGAAGGAGTGGGCACCAGAAACGCGTCCTCAGTTGACCACATCTTGGCACTCAGCTTTGGTGACTCCCCCTGGTGTTGCTGATGTCCCACCCTGGCCTCTAGGGTATTCAGAGTCCTGCACCCCAACCCTGCTCCCTTCCTGCCCTGACCTCATCTCACCTCTGCAGTAGCAAGACTTTTCTGTGGCCTGAACCTAGATCCTCTGCCACCTCTTCATTCTTCTCCTTCAGTGTGGGCTCACCAAGAGCCATGAGAGTCCCCAGGGCTGCAAGGGCACACAGAAAACCCACAGCTTCATACACTGAGCTATCACTCCTCATCGACAGGACCTCAAGCCTCCAGTCCCAGCTCAGTCTAATTCAATCTCTGTATCTTTGCTCAAACTCTTGCAAGGAAATCTGACCGCCTTGGCCTGGCTGGGGCATCCAGCGCTATATCTGGGGTGTGGCCTGAGACCCTTCCTTCCTTGGTAGGACTCAGCCAGGGTTAAGGAAAGGGCAGATTCCTTGGAGAAGCATGAGGAGGTAGTGCTTCTGAGGACACTCATGTATGTGAATGCCCAGTGCAGACGTATGGAAATGATGTCATCTACATTTAGCCCCATCCCTCTAGGGTGGGTGTCATCAGATTCCCATCCCAGTTTGCAGCTGGAGCCTCGAGGCTTGGATTAAGTGCTCACCAATGCTGGTAGAGAAGACTGTCGCTTCCCACCACTCTCAGCACTTGTCAACTTGCGAGGTCTCATGGCAAGTAAGTCCTGGCCACCCTGGTCGCCTCATAGAGGAAGTGGCTTGGGCCAGATGCCCTCCTCTGAGGTGAATCTTGAGCTGGAGCTTCGGTGTGCACCTGGAGCACGTGGCTGGGGTGTTCAGCAAACCCTGGGCAGGGAGGACAGGCCGGCCAGGCCTCAGGCCCCGGCATCTGCCTCTGTAGCGCATTCATCCACTTTGGGGGTCTTTGTGTCCCTAAAAGAGTCTGAATATGAATCCACACTCAAGCAAAATCACGAAGGAGATCAAAGCAGCTGCAATGACACCGGAGGAGGCTCATTCTCATGGGAAACCTCAGAGTAAGAGACATCGGGGAGGCGCTGGCTACAGGGTCATGACGGAGGTGAGAGGTTGAGGGTAATGGACAGAAAGCAGCATGCACCCAAGTCCAGGTGGCAGGGAAAACAGAGAGCAAGGAGGAAGCAAGACTGTGAGCAAAACAGGCCAAGAGAGGCCAGTCAGTCACAGATGCCAGGCTCCAGCCCAACCTGCCCAGACCCTGCGTCTCAGAGGGCACCTGCCCTCCTCCATGCACCCAACCTGCCCTGTCCCATCTGTGTAGGGCCCCGTCTGTCTCCCCTGCAAAGTCAGGTGGTCCTCACTGGAAGGTAGGAACTGGGCTTCACCATCTGGACTGCGCAAGACCTGCCTGGCCATGAGAGGAGAACAAAGAGTTTTCTAGAAGGCTGGCTTGCTCACACAAGTAAAGAACTGCCCAGCAGAAGTAATGCTTAGGCAAAGCAGGTGGGTACTGGTGGTGGTCACAGATGCTGGGGTGAGCCACAGGCCTGAGCCATCCATTGTGGGGGTCTGGAAGCCAGTGTGGCTCCCACACACAGAGGTAGACAGTTCCTGGAGAACACCAGAGTCTAGGCCCCAGGGGCTGGGCGAACCTCAGAGGGCGTCCCACGCCAGCTTAAAGGCAGCTTGGAATGTGACAATTGATCAGTGGGTGCTGGGCAGCTCGCACCCCTGTGCAGACAGCCTTCTCCATGGGCCAACAAGTGTGTCACATGCATGCAGATGCGTGTGCATAGGGCCATGGGGGCCCAGGAGCCTTCCTACTGGAGTTCAAAGATGTGGGCTGAAGGACGTTTGGAGAGCATCCCCTGCCTGTGCTTCTGTTTTACCTCCGGGCCCCAAGCCTCCGCTGGGTGGTGGGTGGGCGCTGCTCCCAGCCTCCCATGCAAGGGGCCCCAGAGGGAGGAAAATGGCAGGCTGGGACAGAGGCACCACGTGAGAGCAGCTTTGTGATAAAGCTGCCAGATACACAAAGCAACAAATAAAAAGGAAAAAGGGAACGGGACTCAGCACAATTCACAAGTCACAAGGGGATTGGCTCCAAGGAGCAGGTCCGTGGCTCAGCGGGTCCACTGGGGCTCTCTGGGCAGAGGGGCCTGGTGTTTCAGGTCCCTTCCAGAACCTTCACCCTGAGTGGCAATGACATTCCGTAGCCTTGAGGGGCAGGGACTCAGAGCTCGGTACCCTGGGGCTCTGGGGTGGAGGATGAGGATGATCCAGAATGGGGAGGCAGAAATAGCCCCCCATTCCTTTCTACTAGTTCTCATGCCTCCAGCCCCTTGCTGCAGCCACACTGGCCTCAGTTACACTGGTTCGTTCCTGCTCCTCACCTGTACAGGGCCAGTTCCTGAACTGTGGGGGGGCCTTTGTATATACAGGCACCAGAACATTCCTCCAGAGCTTCACTGGAGCCCTCCTCTTCAGCATGACGGTTCCCGGCCACCTGATCCAGAGCTGGCGGCTCCCAGGCATAGCCCATCCCTGCTGCGGCCCTGCACTACCCCAGTCCTCACCTGCACGCAGGGGACTGTTCACATGCTGACCGTCTGTCCATCTCCTGTAAGGACGTCGGCTCCTTCCATGTCTGCTGGGCTGAGGATCCCTCACAGCCTCCCTGACCTCAGAGCCATGAAAGACTTGCAAGGCTTGAAGCAAACTCTGAACGGACCCTTCACAGATAAATTCTACCAGGTGCATGTTTCAAAAAATTTTATTATCTAACCCAAGAGTAAGTTAGCAATCGATTTCCTAATCTTTATTGACTGGCGGTGTGCAGGCTAGTGTGATTAAAGGTGTGAGAAAGACTTGCCAAATAAAATGCATGAACAGCTTTCATGAGCTTAGCTCCAATGTGCAGAGTGATAGGGTCAGGGAAGTGTGCGTATGTGTGCATGAGTGTGTGAGATCAGGGTAGTGTGTGTGTGTGTGTGTGTGTGTGTGTGACATCAGGGCAGTGTGTGTGTGTGAGATCAGGGCAGTGTGTGTGTGTCTGTGTGTGTGTGACATCAGGGCAGTGTGTGTGTGAGAGATCAGGGCAGTGTGTGTGTGCGCATGAGTGTGTGAGATCAGGGTAGTGTGTGTATGTGTGTGTGTGACATCAGGGCAGTGTTTGTGTGTTTGTGTGACATCAGGGCAGTGTTTGTGTGAGATTAGGGCAGTGTTTGTGTGTGTGTGTGAGATCAGGGCTGTGTGTGTGTGTGCGCATGACTGTGTGAGAGCAGGGTAGTGTGTGTATGTATATGTGTGTGTGTGTGACATCAGGGCAGTGTGTGTTTGTGTGAGATCAGGACAGTGTGTGTGTGCATGAGTGTGTGAGATCAGGGAAGTGTGTGTGTCAGGTCACCACAGTGTACGTGGGGGTGTGCGCGTGCACAGGGAGCACAGGGGCAGCCATTCCAAGTACACCCTCTACTTGGGTAAATCTGGGAGTAATGATCGCTCCAGCAGTGAGAGCTGGCGAGGGTGGTGCAGGAAGACTGGGGCCTGCCCCGCGAGGGAAGCATTAAAAAAACAGTCAAAGGAAAATGAACTCAGCTCTCCCGGGGTGGAGGAGGTGGAGGTGGAGGTGGGCGGCCAGGGAACAAATCTGGTTGCTGCGAGGCTGTCAGAAAGGGCCCTAGTGCCCTGCCAGGAGGAAAGACTCTGGGCCATGAGCATGATGGTCTTTGAAGGCCAGGAGAGCCAGTCTGCCCCTGCTGTGCCACTAACTGTGCGACTCGCGGTCACATGATGATACCTCCTGGGCCCCATATACTTTATCTGCAAATGGGGAGAAGCACAGCCTCCATGTCCACAGTGCTGTTGAGGTTGGATTGGGGCTGACTGGCAATCAGGCACGTGTCTATAAACGCCGGCGAGCCAGGCAGAGCCCAGGCCTAAGAGTCCACCAGGGCGGCTGGTCTTAATCCGTACTGCATGGATCTGTGAGTCCCCAAATCTGCAGTGGGGATTGAGGAGGAGCTGGCCCAAGGAGAAGACTGGAGTGGAATTGGAAGGGGGAGGAGGATTTTACTGGAGGGCTATTGGGGGGGTGGGGGGGCAGACATCCTGGGCCCCAGGGAGGCACAGGAGCAAAAGTGACAGGTGATTGTCAGGTGCTAGCCTGGGCAGACACATTGAGTCAAGACCTGATCTGGTACATGATCTCACTGAATCCTCTGTAAGACCCTAGCAGGGAGCTGTCCTCCTCGTTCTAAGAGGAAGAAGCAGAGGCTCCGGCTCAGGAGGGGAGGTGGCCTCTCAATGTCACAGTAGGAAGTGGTGGCCAGAATTCCAGCAGGAGGTTCTGACTCCAGGGCTGGAAGTAGGGGCAGGAGATGCAGCAGGAAGGAACTGCGGGTCTCCCTCCACCCGGGCTTACCCCACACAAGCTCAGCTCTACAGGGTGGTCTGCAAACTCCACGCTGCAGGCAGCCCTTTAGGATCATGGGATCGTTTCGGGGGTGGCAGCCATTATTTGGAAAAAAGAAATAGGATGAACAGATATCAGCATTCATGATGTCTAGTAAGATAAGCGTTCTTTCGCAAAAATTGTGTTTCGGTTATCTAGGTATAGTTAATTACTTATTTTATACATAGTTGTCCCGCTTGCTGTGGGCTGAGATGCACAATGTATTTCTTACCCCAGCCACGGTCAGCAAGCTTTGAAAGCCACTGCTTTCAGCCTTTCTTGGTTCTGCAGGGGCCTCCGGGCCTTTGTTCTCTGAACAAGAACGCCAGTGCTGGGCACAGGACAGGAGCCAGGACCTGCTGGAGGATTTCCGCAACATGTCCCTTCCCACACATCAACGCAGCTGGCTAGGCAAGGCACCATCTCATGGGGTCCTAGAACTTGGGGTGTCAATGTTTGGCTGCAGCATGGGGGGTGCTAAACAGGGAGTTCCAAGGCCCTAATGCTGGGCTCACACGGGCCAAGCTTTCCTTTCCTTATACATTGCATAGGGTTTCTCATCTGCAAGCTGGGGTACTCCTGAGGCCTCCAGAGCCAGGCCCCAAAGCAGCTCCACCAGGCTGGCCTGCTCTGACAAGCCCTGAACGCAGTGTGTTCATGGGCAATGGGCAGAGAGGGAGCCTCTCCCACCGCTGGGCCAGTGTCGCCGACAGGGGCGAGTGTCTTGGGGAGTAAGGGATATCAGGGTGGCAGGAGGGCACGGGCCAGGAAATTCTAGAGGTAGGGCTGGGAGGCCACTGGGGAAGGAGGCCGAGCTGCCTCCTGCATGCAGCAGGTGGATGCAGGAAGGCTTTCAGTGATCAGGTTTGTGTTTCAATCAGGTAACTCTGGAGGGGGTGTGGCCAGGTTTCTGTTTGTCTGGCATTCTTCAAAGAGAGCTGCTCCGACCAGAGATTCTGGTGTGGGTGAGAACCGCAGCAGGTGCATTTCCAGGTGTGGCCTTCTTACCTGCCCCAGGTGATCTGCTTCTCCTTCTCCCCTGGGCATTTGTTTCTAGTGTTTATCTCGTATCACAAATTCATCCTTCCTGGGAATGGGCTTTTACTCTGGGCAACACTAGACAACACAAAACCTTCAGTTGTAATAAACAAGCACAAAGCAAACTGGCATTCCAATGTGAAGCCATGTCTCCTCCTGACCTGGCTGGCTTTCCTGTTCGCCGTACTGACCAGCCCAGGTACCCCCAAAGGGACCTTTGTTTTCCCAGAAAAACAACAGAACAGAAACAGCAACAACCCACCCCCCCCAACACACACACAAACCCAACGCCCACCCGTAATCAGGACTGAGGTTGAACGTCCTATTGCCGGGCTCTGTAAGAGGTCAGCAAATCTATCTTCTCCAGGTGGTGACTCGATGTGACAGGTAAGCTCAGGGACATCTCAGATCCCAAGTTTTGGTCCACACTGTGGTCTTTTGTTTTGTTTTTATGAAAAATGACTGGTGGGCCCCCAACAATGCTGCTGAGTAGGCCACTGGGGAGATTTTAAAGGAGAGAAAACAGAAAATGTACCTTTCATGTCATCAAGCTGGGACTACAACATGGACACAGAGGGTATCAGGATGGGAACTGCCCAGGCTCTGGCATGCCCCAGTGTCTCCTGTGCTCCCACTGCACAATTGACCCACCTGCCTTCCTCTTACAGCATGATTATACACATCGAAACCCTCAGGGGTCAGCGCTAAGTGTCTGCATAGACGTACCCAAACACCCGGGGCCTGGCATTCCAATAAACTCTCTGGAAAGAGCAGCATCTCCTCTTCACACAGTGAAACTAACTGCACCTCTTCTCCTCCTAGATGTGCAAGCGTCCACAAACAGGTATTTTCCCCATTTCCTGTTCGGTTCAAAGGTTATTCCTAAAAAGCAGTCATTGACCTGTTTTTGATTTTTTGACTGAGAAATGTATTGACTATGAACGCACAAAATATTTGCTGCACTGTATGCTCCTCTCTTACTGACACAAGATCACTGGAAAAGCCATCTCAGAAAAAAAAGGAAGATTTCAGGAGGAGCTGGAGTGAAACAAACCCAAGGTCGTTCAGCTCATTACATGTTAGTTAAATGTTACAGTTTCATATATTAAAAAAAAAAACCCAGATATTCCCTTAAAAAATTAGTCTTTTCCTGTGTGTATTTTATCTCAAATAAAAAAGGATTCTAATTTTATCTGTGTTCATAAGCTGATAAAAAAATGGTTAGGCTGGGGTTGTTTACTTTTTCGTAAGATTCTCTGAGCAGCAGAAGGAAAGAAAACCAACCCAAGTCCAGCATTTTCTGAGCACACTGAAACAGCCAGGTCCCTTCAACCCATCTGGAAAGAAATTAATTAGTTCTCTGTGTTAGTTTAATATGAAATTATTTTATTTTCACTGTTTTTTTTTTCTTTCTTTCTTTCTTTCTTTTTCTTTTTCTTTCTGGCTATGAGGAAGGGGAAAAAAAAAACGGTGTGAAGGACCGGCTATGGTTCCTTACCGCCCATTTTCTCTCCAGGCTTTTCTTGGTTCCCAGCTTTTGCTTTTTAAATTTTTCCCTGTCTTTTTGGTTGAAAATGTACAAAATGTGTATTTTAAATATCAAAAAATTATACATTTTGAACATGACAAAATCTTAGATCCACAATACGTTTTTACAAAAATATTATTTTAAAAATACCGTCTGCTTTCCCTCTACTTGAATTAAAATGTCATGTTCATTTCTTATCTTCTGATCTGCTCAATCTGACATTTGTTAGATGTGAAAAAGTTCTGCAGACTGTTTCAGAGAATATTTGAAAAATGTGAACAACCGACATGTAAAATGTCCGCGGGAGCACGCTTGCGGAGTTCACATTCATTTTTCAGACGCTGGGGTGCTGGGAGCGGCGAGCGTCCTTCCTGGGCACCGCGGGGCGGCCGTCCCGGACCGGGTCCCCTTCCTCCTCGGGGCGCCGACGGCCTCTCCTGGCCCGGCTGAGGCCGGCGCGGCCCCGCGCGGCCTTCCGGTTTGCTAGCATTTTCCTTCTGGGACGCGCACGGAGGCTGTGGAGAGACCCGGCCCGGGCCCGAGGGCGTGGGCGGCCCTAGCGCGGGTCGGGCCGCGGGTCCCACCTGCCACCGCCGGCCCCGCGTGCCCCGGAGACGCTGCCGCCGCCCGAGCGCGCGGCCCGGGCCACCTGATGGAACGTGCAGAGCTCACTCCTCCACCTGGCGCCCATTTGGCTTTTTATTATCTGCCTCCCCCATCCTAACTGGTTCCAGATTTGCAACCTCAGAGGCGCAGACACCCGGCTGGGCCACGCTATCGATCCCCCAGAGACCCTGAAGCAATTACAGCCACTGCATCGCAGCAGCCCGGCGCCCTTGGGGGCTGCTTCAGACGGCGGGCCCCCGCGGAGCTCATTCCAGGGGCTCAGGCCCTCCCGGGTGAGAGCACCGTCGCAGGCGGGGAGTCGGGCGCCGGCGCTGGCCCTTCAGAGCTGGGACCCGCTGCCCGTGCACCCGGCCCGGCCTTCGCCGAGCGGAGCGGACAGCCTCCACCAGGTCAGGCCGGCTTGGAGAAGGTCCCCGGGGCCCTAGGGCGCAGGGCACGAGCCCGCGGGCGACCTCGGAAGCTGGCGCGGCGAGCAGCGCAGCGCAGACACTCGCTCTCAGGCCCCGCGCCCCGGGCGGCCAAGACTCAGAGCCCTCCCGGGCGGGCGGGACCACCCACGCCGTCGCAGACGTGGGAACCGGGCAGTCGCTGAGGTCGCGGGGGGCGCCGCGGGTCGCAGGCTCTGCGTAGCCGCAACACAGCACCAGGGTCCAACAGTCCTGAGTCACTGTCTGTGGAAGTGAGACCCCAAACGCGACCTGCTTCGGGCCCTCCAGACCCCCAACGCCTGGCACCCCCGGCTTGCCCCCGTGGCTGGGCCCCGCCAGCGCCGGGCACCGGAGGGGGAGGGCCCCGAGGGCCCAGGGCGCAGTTCCAAAGGCCAGAAAATGGAAACTGTGCGAAAAGAATCCCCAAATCCGGCCGGGCCCAAAGCCCACCGGCTTACATAAAGCCCCGGGAGCCCGCCGGCCCGCCCGCCTGGGGGTGAACAATCGGCGGGCACCTGGCCAGGCCGTCCGGGGCTGGCACCGTCGCAGACCCCCGACCACAAGCCTGGCGTGACCCTGGGGAGGGGGCAGGGGTCTCGGCCTCTTCCCACTCCCTGCTCGGAGAAACGTTTAACTGGCCTTTAATCACATTAGCAGCCGGCCCCAATTAGGGCCGCGGGAGGGGGAGGCCGGAGAAAAGCGCCGGCCTGGCAGTGTCACTGGAGGATAAAGATCCTTTCATGCCCTCGGCCTGGTCATGAGCAATGCGGTGGGCCGCCACCCCCGGCCTTTGATGGCCTCGCCGACGCCGCCCTGGCTTTGCCCTCTCCACCCCTCGGCGGGCATCGCGGGGCCACCTCCCAGCCCGCCCGCGGGACAGAGGCCTGGAGGCCTGGCCCAGACATGCGCGTGTGCACCTGGGGCTCCCGCAGAGCTCGAGGGGCGGCTGGGGGCTCGCGGAGGGCAACGCCTAGCCTCCGGCTCGGACCTGGTAAGGCCACTGCCCACGGACGGAGTGGCTCAGAGGGAGGGTGACCCGCCGCCAAGGTGCCCGCGCAGGTACCCTGGGCCCTCCTGAGCCCCCCCGAGCGGGGAGAGACGGCCCTGAGCTGGGCTCCATCCTCCTGAGCCCGGGGTGAGGCCCAACCTGTGCCCGGGCCAGGCCCGTGCTTCCCTCCCGGGCTCTGGGCCCGTCGGGGACACCGGGCCAGGGCATCGGGGCCGGACTCGGGCCTCCCCGTCGGTCGTCGGTCCGCGCGGCGGAGAACCGGCCCGTGCGCCCTGTCGAAGGGTCGCCTGGCGCCCAGGCTCCCGGTCACAGCTCCCCGCGCCACGCTTACCTTGCTGGCCCGCGGGGGCTGCGCTCGCCTCGCCCCGAGGGTTGGTGCCGGGGCGCGCTCTGGACGGGCTGGGGTCGCGCGAGGACAGCGGCCGCCGGCGCCGCCGGAATGCTGATGCCGCAGGCGGCCGCGACGCCCGGTGGCCGCCCGGGACCCCCCGCCCCACGGCGGCAGCTGCAGCCCGGAGCCGCGTGACCCCGGGCCCGACCTCCCCGCGCTCGGCTGTTTGTGCGCACACAAAAGAGAACACTCATATTTTTCTTTTCCCGGCACAGACTTCACACCCGCCCGGTCTCCCCTCCCCCGTAACCCCCCGCCTCACACACGCTCCGCTGAGAACCTCTTTTTCTCTGCGCACCCACTGTGCCTCGCCTTTCTCTCCTCTTTAATTCCATAGTTGTATTCGAGGATGTCAGCATAGCTTAGAAAGTTTCATAGAAAGTCAGAAAGCAATTAGAGAGGCTCTTTTATTGGAGTCTCGTTGGTGCCATGGAATCTTTTAAAGGAGAGCCTGAAGGACCGAACACAATCCCATTAAGCCGCCAAAACTCCCACAGTCTTCAATAGGGGTGCTCAATACTTCGACAGACTTTCGCTGGCTCATTGGGAACCACGGGGTTTCAGTTCCTAGTTCCGCAGCGGACTCACAACGGCGCGGCCTTGAACCCCTCGTTTCTTCCTTTCTCATCGGAATTTCCATTGGTGAAATGGCTTCCAGGGCCGGAGCGAACATTAATTAATGTCTGCCGAGCGTTCCGAGGTCTCTGTTTGACCAGCGCTATGAAAACTTGAAGCGCTTTAATACAGTAACACCACGTCCTGACTGTTTATTTGAAATTAAAAAAAAAAAAATTTCCAGTCAGTTTCTAGAAATGCGAGCTCGATTTTTAAACAAACTTTTACCTCTCTGTGCTTTAAAATCGATCGACTAACATTTGGAAAATGGGTCAAAGAAATTATGCTTTGCTGGGAAAAAGATCACGTATGACCAACGTTTCAGCTTAATTGAGTTTTAGTGCCAAATTATAACTCACTGAATAACTGGACTTGGGCGAAGGGGGGTGGCGAAGGCAGAGAGGGCAGGACAGCCAATTCTAATGGAAATACAGCTATCCTGGGCTGGGGTGGTGTGGCTACCATCAGAACAAGGGCTGCAGCCGCCACCAACAGCCTAATTCCAAAGAGGTGAGGTTATCAGACTGTCGGCTCTTTGTGGGAAAATTGGGGATTGGCCCCTGTTGGATTTGTGGATTTTGATTCATATTCTGGTTTATTATTTAATGTAGCAAGTAACTTTTCTATAGAGCATAGTTCTTCCTTTGCTATTTTAGAGAATAACTTCTGTTCCTGCCAATAAAATTTAATCTCTTCCTTTAAAAGTCAGTATGTAAAGAAAGCAGGTGTTTAAAAGAAATAAAGTATTAAAAAAAATAGGTATTTGGTTGTCAAAGCAAAGTGCCAGGTTTAGAACGATTAGGATTTTGCTCCTGGTGTGTGATCACAGATGTTCATTTTATTAAATGTAAGTTTGTGTTTGACAGTTTCTGGATTAATTTTTGGAAAGGACAGTAGGTGATAGTCTTATAATTAAGGAATTATAATTTAGATGCTAATGAAACGACTACCGGTTATGGGGAAAATAGATTGTTTTCTAACTGTAAGGAGATCATTAAAGATGGGTGTGCAAAAATTGAATATTGGAGTTTAGACTGCTTTCTCTTAGTCATCAATTATTTTGAAATTTTTCTCAAATTTCATCGTCCCTCCTGGTCCTGCTGTCGCAGGGATCCGCTCCTTGGCCTCTGGTGTCTGGTTTTGTGTCCATGCTGCCACCCTAGCCTGCTTGTTGACCCTGCGTCTTCTCAACTGGGATACATCAAGGCCTGGGTGGGAAAGGTCAAGACTCCCAACTCCACATCCACCCTCAGGCACTTCTCAGCCCTGCCTCCTCCTCCTCCGCCACACTGGGTTCTTCCCTGACTGCCTAACCAGCCTTTCTCCCACTGCCTCTGGACTCCCCTTCCTTCCTTTTCCCTACTTGAAATGCCTTCCACCCTTCTCTCCATCTGTCCATATGGCACCTCTCAGACCCAGCTCCCCCATCACCACTCAGACCTACTTTGAGCTCCCCCCGAAGCTGTGGACTCCCCTGGGATTGTCTCCACCTCTTGTTCCTCACAGAGGACCTCGCAGTATTGTCTGTGTTTCATTGCACCATGCTTATTTCTCACTGTGTAGCGTGA